CCGAGTCCCACTGTCTGTGATGTTTTCAGAGTTTTCAGAGTCCTATCTTCACTTTGTTTACATCGCCAGGACGGCGGCTGACTCCTCCCCTCGTGTATAAAAGTTTGGATTGTGTCTCCAGGATGTGTAAATGAGAACTAGCCTCAACTTATTTAAAAAACAAACCATTTATTTCCTGCTTGGCCAATTAACCAAAGCACCATCATAATCATTCTCTACCTTTTTCCCCTCTTCTTTAATTTGTCTCTTTCTTGTTTTGCTTTCTTTTACACCTTATTGACTATGTGTTCTTGTTAGCTTTATTGTTTTTGCTTGGACTAACATTAATAATTTGTCTCTGTGTTACATGTTTCTCTTTAGGAGGGCTACACTCGACGAGCCCCTCTGGGTTCCTTTAGCTCCTCCAGCACATTTCTTTCAAAATGTATATTTTATTAATTAACTAATCATTACTAGTCTGTTTTTCCATTGATCTATTATGTTTTTATTTTTTTTGTGCAATAAAAAGTTCATCATAACAACTTAAAAGGTGAGGCTTTGTCAACATGACTGTGTTTACCTGACTGAAGTATATGTGGAGTAGTAATCTGCACAGATCAGATCTGTTACCTGTTTGAGAAGATATACTCACTGAGGCACACCAGAAACAATAGAAGCATACTGTGGCATGTTAACCTCTGATCAACACTTGTGATCATTCATGATCTGAGATGCTGATATAACAGCCAGACATTCCATACAGGGATATGAACATGTAAACACAATATCCTGAATAAATCAAAAACAGGATACCAGTGAGTATGTAAACACACTTCATGGTTTCCCCCCAGAAAAGTTGTCAGGCCCAGTGGTGTCTTTTTGGGGGAGTGCCAAGTTATGATAGTTGAAGGCCTGAACAGTCTAATGTCTCAGACTCTTTTTTTTTTACTTTAGCCCATGCATGTTTTACCAATCAGTCGCTGGTGACCTGTCCTATACAGTATATCTGTTTTAAACTAAGCAGTCACTCTATACTTTGAAAAGTAAAAATCACCTTAAAAAAACAACAAAATGCTGGGTGGCTATAGTCACCTTCAGCTCAATGGTCCATCAGTCTCGTTATTTGCGGTTAGAAAACCTTCACTCACAGATGTAGTCACTGTTTATTCCTGCTTCTCTCCCAAGTAGCTAAAATAAAATATCAGAGATAAAGATGTTTAACAACAGATATAAGAAATCTGCAATAAAAAGTAAATCTCGTAAAATGATAATAAAAAAACTTTCCCTTAAATTTCAAACTCTGCTCAAAATCATTCTATATTCCTCCCCACAGGTGAAGCTACTAAAAGGAAAGAGACATTCTGGAGTAGACTTTACATAACTTTGATAAAAACTAGTCAGAGGACCTTAAAGTCTTTATATGTGATTTTTCACTGAAATGTATAAATCAAGTATCTCCTCTGAAAATAACTCTGTGAGTCATGACTGTCTACAATGGGTGTAACACCCGAGTCCCACTGTCTGTGATGCTTTCAGAGTTTTCAGAGTCCTATCTTCACTTTGTTTACATCGCCGGGACGGCCGGCTGACTCCTCCCCTCGTGTATAAAAGTTGTTTAATTGAGGGACTAGAGAAAAGAAGAATAACATACTGTACTCACTGCTTAACTGTGTTTCTAGATCACGCTCATTTCAGGTAAATTTACATGCAGTGTGAAGATACCAGCATAATAAAGATGGCTAGTATTAGCATGCTAACACAACAATGCAGCGCGAGTTGTTTTGGTTTCATGCTGGAGCTCAAGGGCGACATCTGCTGGATCAAAAAATCACATATAAAGCCTTTAAAGCAACAGTTTGACATTTTATAAAATTCATTATTTACTGTAAATGTTCAAGTCTGTTAGCATTGTTTAGCATCTGCACACAGAGCAGCAGCTTATTACAGTCGTAAACAACACAAATGAGAATTGTTGCTTTTCTGTTGCTCAATGTGTCAAACTACTTCTTGGCTTGATGAAACTACCTACTGGAGTCTCTGCTGTTTAACATAATCACACATCTGCTTTACTTACTGAAAGAGAAGAAAAACAAACTGAAGGGTATCATGTCATCTCAGATTTGAAAGTCAAACTTTGACAGTTGTTTATTGAAAACTCCACAGTCTAATAGCACAATGCTCTGCCGTTATGTCACCTGCGAGACACCTGAGGTCCTCTGGGTTTTGTGGTAGAGGTTTCAGTTTCAAGGACAGCAGCACTAATAGATTTATGAAACTCCTTACTTCTTTATTATTTTAACCGACCAACCAATGTCTTGAGTGAAGCACTTTAAACACACATGTTTCTGTTAATGGCCTCTGACTTAGCTTTCATTGCTTCCTTGTATTACGGGCAGAGTGACAGTGGGTTGGTTTTATGAGTGAAATACTTAAATGTAATCATTCAGTTTTAAATCATCACTATCCTGTAGTATTGTGGGTCATTTAGGCAGAGGTCTCCAACCTGTGAGTAAATTACAGTTAGGAGACAAATAAGTGGGTGACCAGTTCAATATATTTTTTGTGCCTTTATTACTGTATTGGATATTTCTGTTCCTTCTAAGCTGTATCAATAGTTTAAACAAAATGCAACAGCTTCACTCTTTCTTTGTTCACTGATCACAATTCATGGACACATTACATTTTTAACAAGACATTTTGTTAATGGCTACAGCAGGCATTCCATAACTGTAGATTAACTGATGACTGGAAACAAGGGGACACTGCTTGAATGGCTTTGGCAAAACATCAGAAAATACACCTCCATCCCCTGTATAAGTTATCAATTAACACTTTATATTTTCTTTGTTTAATCAAGAAAAAATACATAAAAGTGAAAAGCAATCATTTCACTTTTATGTATTTTTTCTAGCCTATTTCAAAGGAGGTTAGATTCTTGGATTGGAGCTGTTTCCACGCAGCCAGAAAAACCATGACTGCTTCTGGCCTAGCTAATCTCAAATAAGATAAAGTGAGCCATCGTTGGAAATATTGATTAACTGTTTAAAACGTTGACGTATAGTCTTTGAAGAGGCGTGGGTGAAGCCCCACGATGACTGTAACCATATTGTAAATGTTGACTCAAACTAACTTCTGGCTAATCAAGACAAAGCGTTGGAGGTGAGAAAGGTTGAATGAATATGTGGTTGCTTAAACTGTAATCTAGGTTGCATATTCCACGTAACATACGCCTCCCATCTCTTAGAAAACGTGCATTTGATGAGAAACAGAGATTGGCAAAGTTATTGCGAGAAGCCAGTGAACCATGTCGACTGACAAGGTTCAGTAATATTAGCAGATTTTGGGCAAATCTGACTTTTCTAGTTTACAGCCCCTTGTTTGCAAACTGTTTGCATGTGGAGTATATGTATGTGTATTCAGATATTACTGAAACTCTCAGCTCTTTTAAATCGAGGTTGAAGACACACCTGTTTACAGCTGCCTTTCATTAAACAGCTTTAATAAGATTTTAAACTTCAACTCTGCACTTTTAACTATTTTTATATTTTTACTTCATTTATTTCAATTAATTTCATTTGAATTATTTTTATATTTATATATGTTATATATATATATTTGAACATATGTTCAGATTTAATAATTTCAGTGATTTTTAATTTCTATTTTAATGTTTCTTTTCTTTCCTCTGTCATGATTGCCTTGTTGTTGAAATGTGCTATAGAAATAAACTTGCCTTGCCTTACCTATTACAATGACGTCTATTGCTAAATGGCTACATTGTAGGCGGTCATTTTAACATGAGGTAGGTTTGTCAGGTTCTTAACTTGAAAAACTAAGTTGAAGATTGACAAGAACAGAGACAACTTTTTGGCAATAGATTGATTTATTTGTGTGAAACATGAGACAATGTGCACGGCTAACCATACAGCCTCCCAATCTGTTATGAATAATATCTGAAGGAATCTACACTCAGCCGATGGATTGTTGCTTTTTGTCCAACTGTGCCGGTGTGTGAACTAGAGCTTTATAGCAGTACCCACTTCTCGCAAGTTGACCGCTGCCCTGCAGGCAAAGTTACATAGTGCAGTAAACAGGCAACAGGGACACCATTACGTATAAAGGGATTGTACTATTAGACTGTGAAACTACTGTTTTAATATGGCAAAGTGACATGACGTTACTTTAACATGGGACCTTATTAGGATTCCTTTGTTTTTGGAGCAGGCCTCTAATGGACAATCGAGGAACTGTAGTTTTATTCTACTTCCACACCTGCTTCTTTTTTCAACACCAGAGGATGCTGCTTAGATATAGCCTTAAAGGCTTTATATGTGATTTCTTGATCCAGCAGATGTCGCCCTTGAGCACCAGCATGAAACCAAAACAACTCGCTGCATTGTTGTGTTAGCATGCTAATGCTAGCGATCTTTATTATGCTGGTATCTTCACACTGCATGTAAATTTACCTGAAATGAGCGTGATCTAGAAACACAGTTAAGCAGTGAGTACAGTATGTTATTCTTCTTTTCTCTAGTCCCTCAATTAAACAACTTTTATACACGAGGGGAGGAGTCAGCCGGCCGTCCTGGCGATGTAAACAAAGTGAAGATAGGACTCTGAAAACTCTGAAAACATCACAGACAGTGGGACTCGGGTGTTACACCCATTGTAGACAGTCATGACTCACAGAGTTATTTTCAGAGGAGATACTTGATTTATATTACATTTAAGTGTGAAAAATCACATAGAAAGACTTTAAGGCAGACATTTTTCTAAAACATACCAACACCAATTAAATGTATTTCCCACGATTTTCCATCCACCACTTCACAGGACAATTTGATCAAACACAAATAAAACAGACTATGCCTTTCCCCTCTACCTTTCATTTTTTCCCCTCCCTTTTCAACGGACATACCTTCCTTCCCTCCTTCCCTCCTTCTCTCCAGGCCATCAAAGCCACCTCGGTGCCCGACTGAAAGACAAAAAAAATCAGTCGCTGACTCCGCCCCTCAAACTCAGATGTGGATGCGAGAAAAAAAAGGCCAGCAACAGTGTAACAGACAACACAGCCCCTCTGCTCCGCTCGACGTAGTATCTCTCTCCCCCTGAATGAAAGTGGAGCAGAGGCGAGCCGAGCCAAACCAAGCCGCATGCTTCGCTGTGCAACAAGGCGGACAGGACGCGACATGGACCGGCGGACAACAGCAGCCCGAGCATCATCCAGCGGGGACCGAGACAGATTTTAAGGTAAGGCTTTGTTTGCTTTCTGCAGCATTTCAATACAGATCATGAGCGCTTTGTGCAGGACGTGGTGGAGCAGCTCGGGGGGGAGGATATGCATGCACGATGTTCGATTCAAACGATAATCAAATATAGGATTCTGTTTGAGCGAAGATTCGGGGAAAATGTGGGCAGAGAGAGAGAGAGAGAGCCCTTTCTTTGTCTTGGTTACTTTACTCCGGGAACACGGTGATCATCACGGGGAGATCATTTAACTGCAGCTCATTTACGCGCGGCTCTTTAACATTCACACACACACACAGAAAAATATGTTTATTATTGGCTACATGAGATGCATTTTTTAAGCAGCATATAGTTCCCTCTGCGTCAGTTATTGACGCTCGGGGAATAAGGTTTTTTTTTTGCAACACTGAAGAATCTCAGTTCATTCACAGCTGAGGAGGGTGAAGCCATGGCCTGCATGCTTCTCCTGCTGCTCTACAACTCGGGCAGAAGATGCAGAGGTTTATGTTCCCTTGACACCCGGGTTATTGTTAAAACAGCTCCGTGCACATGGTGTCTGTCATGCAAAACAGGAAACCAAAGCCTCAAGAACAACAACATACATACATGCAATCCCCATGATTATTATATTTAATTTCACGTGTTTGACTTTCATATTAGAAAAAAAAAGTAGCAGTTCCCTCCTTTGTTTATAAAGAAAGCTCAAATACAACAACAATCAACTTGTAATTCAGAAGCCATGTGTATTCCTAAAATTGATTGAGATCTGTGCCCCTGTTTGTCATGCTGGTTCTCTCCTGTGCTCAAAAAAGTTAATTTTTCAGCAGCAGTTTAAAAAAAAAAAAGACCAACATGCTCCTTCTTGAAATGTGTTTATTCCACATCATTACACTTTCACATCTACACAGCAGCACCGCTTCTCAGCCGTGCATGGAAGGCTTTTGTTTGGAGCAATTTTAATTAGTGTCAGCCAGATACCTTTACTTTTTGGACTAAAACCCTTGAAGTTAAAGCTCGAAAAGTGTTCCTTCACATCACAGGACTGCGGTAAAACGCTTTTGAAAAGCAGAGGGAAACATGCAGGTGTCAAGGGTAATTAAGTGTTTTTTGTGTGTGTGTGTGTGTGTGTACGTGGTGCGGTGTGGGTTTGTGTCTTTCTGCAGTGCAACTAAGAGGAAACTTAAGGTTTCTCTCTCTGAGCTGTCAAGACGTATCACATGATCACATCACCTCTGAGAACAGCAGTGGAGGTTGAGAGTCAACCCGAACAACATACAATAACATCGCCCACACACTCACACACACACATTCATCACGCTTCTCTGTAGTCCACTACAATCAAAGGAAACCAGTCTGTTCTTTGCATATTTTCTTTCCCCTCGGGCAGTGTGAAGAAGTAAAGTCTAATGTTTCCTCTCCAGGTTATAGTGACATTGCGTCAGGAAAGTGTTGTTGTTTTTGTTTGTGGGTGCAGCTTGCTGAATAATTGCATTCCCTCTGACTTCCAAAGCCTTTGTGATGAGGACAAGAGTTGAATCTTGTAGACAATGTTTCCAGTCTGCAGATGGGAGTGTAGCAGAAAAGACACACATTATATAAAGCTTAAGCTCAATAATTCATCTCTCCTCAGCCGGAGCGTTTGTCTTTTATAGTAAGTGAACTACAGATGTTGCTATACCCACTCTAATGATGCATTATGAATGTGCTGATGGATACCTGATAAATGCACATACTGTTCCCATCATCAGCAGTGTGGGGGAACGGCTTCTGGCCGAACATCTGCATGATTGCCTTTTACACACAGATATCTAATTACTGCTACACACCGACTGGCACCTCTTCATCTCTGCAGATGGATGTTGATTGTCTCAAATTGGAGTGCCGCCCACTGCACGTGCAGAAAGAGTACAGGTGTGTGTCAGGGAGCTTCTGTATGCATTAACGCTATTCCAATTTTCTTCTTCTATGCTGAGCCTTTATACTCTTGTCCAGCAGCCATTTCACACATGGAGCACCTATTTTAGAGAATTTTTCCACCAAGATGCATCAAATCTAAGACTTCTTTCACTCTAGAGCTTATACTTACATTTCACTCAGCATGCTTTTTGCCATCGTTTTTTCCCCCCAAAGAATTTATGCCATAATTCTCAAAATAATTACAAGAAAAGATAAGTTTGTCCCCTCGCTGAAATATTTCAACTCCCCAAATTTGGTATATTTTAATTAAAGAGCTCGTTGTCAGGCAATTTATCCAGACAAAAAATGACAGCAACAGATCATAAGATACAACCTAACAACCCATAATTAAATGCCTTTTTTAAAACAGCAAATAAGCAACAAAAGGAAGTGCTGAAGCCTGTGCAGAACATTAGTGATTCACACTCTCCAAACATCAATACAGTGCATTACTTAGTCAGCACATTAAAGCTCATGCTGAGGTTGAAAAATTGTACATCAATGTTTGATTCTTTGTTCGTTCCCTTCCTGACAAACTTTTCTGATTATCTGTGGAGAATAAACATCTGTGCATGGACACACAGCCAGCTAAGTTCCTTTTACACATGGACTGTAATCCTAAAGACGTCCTGATATTTACCAGGAGGGGTGCATCATGTGTGAATGCCAACATCCCAATCTGCTGATCCTCACTGTTTTTTTGAGACTTCTTCCTGCCAGCATCCTTGTAAGAGAGTCGGTGTTGGGTTGTGAGCAGATGATCCATGAACGCAGGAGGTAATTGTCTGATAGTATTGTTTATCTTGTAGTGATGTGAGGGGGGCGGCTGTGGCTCAGTTGGTAGCGTCATCGCCTCTCAACCAGAAGGTCGAGGGTTCAATCCCCAGCAGGGTAACATGTACGATGTGTTTAGCTTCGCTTGGTTGCGGTGTATGAATGCGGTTGTGGTGTATCAGATGTGTGAATGTGTAGGTGTGACATGCCGTGTAAAAGCGCTTTGAAGACTGAAGACTAGAAAAGCGCTTTAAGCACAAGTCCATTCACCATGTGTGCTCAGAAACAGTCACTGTTTGTTGGAGAATCCTTCTGACTCTGTACACACCCCTTCCTCACTTAAACACGCAGAATGTATATTCCGCTACCAGGGGGCTCTACCCCTGTAACAACCCAATAAAAAAGATGACATTGTTATTGGGTTGGAACTCCCATGATTCCCCGCTCCCACACATCCCTGATTTAAAAAAAAAAAAAAACAATTCCGGAGTTGATTGAACAAGCGAAACGGACCTGAGGGAGAGAATACGTTTACCCATGATGTATTCAGGTATCAAAGTAGCACATACAGCAACAGCACGGCAGGTTTCAGTAGCAGCTCCTACTTCCTTATGCAGCGGTCTTTAACGTAACACCCGGTGTTTCCGGGTCTGTTATGGCAGCTTCACGACGAGACACGGGCCGTTATAACTTTAAAATTAAGGATTTCTCTGGCTTTGATGACTTTTGGAACTTTATGAAAAATATCTTTTCTACAGATCATTGTGATAGTTTGTTGGTGTTTATCGAGTCCCTGGACAGATGAGGCGGTAGTTAAGCATCAAGGACACATTTCTTAACGGTATGCAGTTTTAAAGGGATGCAGACTCTCCGTCTCTGAAAGAAGGAATCTGTGGCGGTCGATCATTTTTCACCAGCAGCAGAGGTGACGCACATTTTTTCATACGCCACCATTACAGCCTGGAAGCTTCTCTGTGCAGCCTCATTGATTGTAAGATGATATCGTCCAAATCATTAGGACGAGGTTGGAAATGGTCAATTTGATACGACACAAGTGGAGACCGCACCGACTTACATCCACCTTGTGAAGTTGATTTGGTGAACTTGTAAGGAACGGTTGCATTATCATTTATTTGGAGTTAAAGTCAGTTGACAGATTTTAATTGGGCCAGATTGATTTAATATACAGCAGATATATCTATCAGTATATGTTTTCTGATATGCACCAATTTGGAAACCTGCTCTGAAACGTAGACCGCAGAAGTGCTTAGGGGATTTTGAAATATTTTCTAATTAACATGTTCTTGAAAGGCTTTATGTGATTTTTTGATCCAGCAGATGTCGCCCTTGAGCACCAGCATGAAACCAAAACAACTCGCGCTGCATTGTTGTGTTAGCATGCTAATGCTAGCGATCTTTATTATGCTGGTATCTTCACACTGCATGTAAATTTACCTGAAATGAGCGTGATCTAGAAACACAGTTAAGCAGTGAGTACAGTATGTTATTCTTCTTTTCTCTAGTCCCTCAATTAAACAACTTTTATACACGAGGGGAGGAGTCAGCCGGCCGTCCGGGCGATGTAAACAAAGTGAAGATAGGACTCTGAAAACTCTGAAAACATCACAGACAGTGGGACTCGGGTGTTACACCCATTGTAGACAGTCATGACTCACAGAGTTATTTTCAGAGGATATACTTGATTTATATTATATTTAAGTGTGAAAAATCACAGATAAAGACTTTAAAAAAGTATTTTTTTACAAAGCCTTCTGAGTACCTTTTTGTAGCTTTGTTTTTGCAACTTAAGGTACAAAAGAACTATATTCATTACTGGGCAGAAAATTCAGAGTATTGGCTGCCATTTGGGTGGTCCGTGATCGTTTTTTCATAATACTGTAATTATTTCAGTTTCAAAAGGCCTGTATAAATCAAGGTCATGATTTTATTGCCACTTAACAGAAGAAAAAAAAAGATCTCAAAGGTTTTTGTCATCAAAAGTCGTGGCTCAGAGCCTCTCAGCATCCCTGGAAATGGCAAGGCTGAACTTTTTCAGGTCAACATTCGAGCTTCTTTTTAGTTAACACAAACATTCTCATCGTTTTTTCCTGTCAGCTGATGCTAGAGTTTCCATTTCCAGACAGTACATGATGGTGGATATACAGTGCACCGAGGAACGGAGGGACCGCATGGGCAGGGCGGTCTAGGAAGATGGAGGTGTAATTTCAGATGCCCGTTAACTGGCTAGAGCAGCAGTTATCTGAGCTCAGCCC